TCAAATAAATGCGAAAATGAACATTCATTTGCAAAAAATGAACACGAATATTTCTCAATTTGACAAATTCCTCGAACCAATTTAACGGCCAGGTAGCGCAGTTGGTTAGAACGCCAGCTTTGCAATCGTGAGGTTGCGACTTGCGAGTTCGAATCCCACTGTCTGCCTGGTCGTGTGGTGAGCGTCGTTGACGTTCAGCTAAGGATCCTGAGTGGTCTATGCAGCCCCCCGCTTTACTCAGCCGAATACTCGAGAAATCGGGTGTGAGGGTTAAATGAGGAGCTGCACATTGCAGCAATGTCTCGGGCGAAGAAAGTATGGTACACACTACCTTAACCGTCACTGGCCAAATAAATCCTTCGGCTTCCTGTAATTGGCTAGTTGCACTTGTGTAACAATGTGGCTGTTGGAATACACCGAAGTAAAATAAGTGTCTTGATAAAAAATTTTAAAAAGTGGTGGTAGTAAGTCATACCAGAAAGAATTATTTCAATTGGGCACTCATTGACTGAGCTATTATTATTAAGTCCAACGTATGGGTACTGAATTTTGGCCCCCCTGTATTAAAGGTCGCTTCCCACGGTTGGCCTGTTGTAATCGTATAATAAGCATATATAACTAGGTCAGATGCTCTCCAACAATTTCCAGCAAATCTAGTGTAAAGTGAGTCAAAACCGATACAATGGGCGATAGTTTACCTTAGATTTGGCGCAGAATGATATGTTGCTTTCACTATTAACAGGCCCGTTATAAAACAATCCGTAAAAACAATCTGTAAAATGATCCGCTCGAACTACTAATAGAGTTTTACTTTTTTTTTATTTGCCGGGCATTTTTCAGAATTTGGCCGCCAAATTTTTTTAAAGGCCTAACTCAAAATTCTGTTCCAAAACTTAAGGTCATGAGACAATTCTACGTTGATTCTGAAAATTTCATGAAAAAATATTGAAACCCTATTGAGTTCTATTGTTTTGAGCGAAGTCAGTTTTGCAAATATCGCGAACTGAGATATGGGCGATTTTGTTCATTATTTACGATTATTTGAACACAGAATCCACAATTAGGTAGATATTGAGCTGAAATCATAGAGAATGTGTAGTTTAGGCTTACCTTTCATATAAAGTTAGTTTCGTTTAAAAATACTGAAATTTGCCCAATTAATGGGCGAAATTCGATCAAATTAAGTGCGTATGCCCAAATATGGTCAGATGGTTTTTAGCCTATAACTTAGTCCTTTTTTGTCCAATCTTAATGAAATTTCATATACGAGTTCAGGGGATCACTAGCTACAAGTAGAGCACCTAAAATCTGGGTTTTGGGCATGTTCAGGGTATTTGGCTAAATTGGGCCTAATTTGGACCAAATATGGGTGTGGCTGCCCCACGGGCACCGTTAGGCGGTTGGGGTCCGAGACCCCCTCAAAAGTTCTGTCACCGGTCTTAGTTTGTTGGTCAACTGCTATCTCGAAACCAAGTTTCACAAAAAAATCAGGGTGAACCCCCCCCCCCCCCCCCCCCCCCTTAAGTTAAATGGAGGCGTTGAAATGATTACCCACAAGATATTTATATACACTTAAACTTCTTAAAGTGACTATAGTTAAATAAATATTTCTAAAAAAACAATGTGTAAACTAGAGTATCAACATATTGCTGTAGCTCTAGATAATCATGGAACATAACCACATACGATAAAATGATCGTCGGCGACTGCACGGTCACAATTCAACATCTTACGTGCCACAAAATGATCCAAAGATAACGCAATGTTATATTTATAAACAATCAAAGTCGATTGAATCGATATAACCTTATGTAGAACAAGGCAGCAAGAATCATCGAAATTACACAATAGTCATAAATGCTACAAAGTCGACGCGGTACAATATTTCGCAACCTACTTACAATAGAGGGTATAAAGTTTTAATCGTCAGCAATGACGCTGCTGATGGTGCAACAGCTGTTTCTACTCGTAACAGGGTAGGTACTATGTACCAGATCTTATACCTTTATACAGGGGGAGGGCTATCAATCACAGTTGACTAAACATGGGCATTGCGGTATTAAAATATTAACAGAATTGTGTATACCTCTTGCTGCGATTATTTTTTCTTTTAGTATCATCCTTAGTAAAGGAATACAAGAGGATTACATGATATTTATTATGAAAGTTTTGAAGCAAAAACATGTCTGTTGACACTTGAAATAGCAGAATATGGTTGCAATTGTATGAAGAATAAGTTACAGTAAGTAATCAGACCTCATGTAGATATGAGCTAAGTATTGGCGTGATCTAGAGCAATTGTGTTGAGAGAGCAATGTGTCTCTAGTGTGATGTTTTTTTGAGAGAAGAGAAGAATTTAGAGCAATCCTGCAAGTTCTCAAGTTGCTTCGTTGCTTCAGTTGATGTTTCATGTTCAGAACTAAAATCCACGATTTACTAGTTTAGTAGATTATAAGTTATTAATGGTTAGTTTGTTGTGACTACCAACACAGTGACGGTGCCCAGCATGCTGCTGCCTCAAATATCACATGATTAGTCACTCTCTGTTGTACAATGTGCACACTCAATTATCAGCCAACCGAAACTTTAAAACTGAATCTAAATTAATCAGGAAGTTTGAGCGGGTTTTATTGCTAATCAGCTAATGTTTTACAACAAAAAAGGGTTCTTTTGCGATAGTGTAAACGCGATAGCTAGCGCCATCCAGTGCTAATTAGCGCTGGATGGCGCTAGCTATCACGTTTACACTATCGCAAAAGAACCCAAAAAAGCTAATTATAATCTAGTTAGATAAGATTATTTAAAGGTGATTTAGAGAAACTAAATGCCAACCTTTCTGATTCCGCCTCTAAACATCTACCAGAGTGTTTCTAAAGATGATCACACATCTAACATTGACCTGTTTATGTATTTCCTATCAATACATCACTAAAATCAAGGTTCTTAGGTCTAAATGCCGTCTGTAACTCACAATTTGCTCGCATGTGTTTTTGGTAAGTCAAAACGTTATTTGACTTATTATCTTACTTTAGTAACTGACTTGTCGTTATACCTGAATAACCGATCTGTGTGCAAGGATGTTGCAAATGTTGTTTAACGCAGTGGCGTAACGTTGCCTGTTGGCGCCCCCCCCCCCGCTGAAAAAGTGCCCCCCTGTTGGCGCACCTTCGCACAGCGGGGCCCTTCGTTACGCCACTGGTTTAATGTGTTATGGAATAAGCTTCTAAAGTACCCCTGTACTGTGGTGATATCCTAGTTTCTGCACGACGAAATAGTTTTGTCAATGCATGATAGTAGGTAGTAATATGTAAGTAGATATGTATTGAATGTAGGTCTTAACTCTGGCGCAGCTCCAGGTTGTCGGGAATTTAGATTCCTTTTTGGTTGGAATTATTCTGCAATGCTGCAATGTTATTTTTCAAATATTGTAATTAAAACTAAATAACAATCAGTAGAATTTATAACGTTTATTTCCACACTTTTCTGACAAGCAGTGATAGAAGATTTCAAAACTTGCAGAGCGCGAACAAACCGCATAATATTATCCAGTTTTGATTATCAAGTTATCACGTTTTAGGAATGAATTTAAATTGAGCCTGACGCTAGATTTAAAAATTGTTCTAACGATCATCAGACCGGTTAATTTTGCTCGAGTTGTTTACACACGTCGTCAGATCGGTGTCTTCATCATTCAGTTTAACTGTTCATAGTACATGCTTCTGTGTCTGTTGTAGACGACATTACGATGACGGCATTGGCTGGAGTTAAAAATTTGGTTATCAATGAATAAAGGCATTAAATGTAAGTCCTAACAAGATCAAATATGAAATAACACAGAAGAGGGTACCTAAGTACTATAGCAATATTTTCCCCTCTATTAAGATGCGTAGTATATAAGTAAAATATAAAGATGTGAGGCAGTGCATAGAGGCTGCTTCCTGTCGTCATTGTAGACCTAAACTGTGTGTGATCTAGTCTGGTGAGTAGATTCTGACGTCAATGAGAAACGCTGTCAGTGTAGCCGTTGTGGCGATGCAGATAAAGAAAAACTCTGCAGTCCGCACGTCATACTATAAAATGTAACATATAAAATACAAATCTGTAATTTAATAATACTAATAGAGTACATGATCCCCGTACGAGATCCAGTTTGATTATTAATGAAAACCTGGACTATAAGCTCTAGGTTTAAAAAAGAGAGAACTTATTTAAATATGAGAATAATTATTTAGATACGAGAACAATCATTTGACTATTGTCCTACTTGTCAATGACGAAACTTGTTGATACAGTTTCATTGATTAGGTCTTATCGTTAAACATACTATTTCTAAGGATTGACGTATTAATTTTATTAAACATTTTCTTTTTCAATGAAGAGTGAAGACGTTGTTGGTTGAAGTTAACGAAAACTGTATATTGCTTGTTTTTATTTTTATCAATGAGGACGACGTCAAATTTGCGTGTTACTATGGCACTGGTAGTTTATATAGGTCAGATCAAGCAAAGCAGAAACTTAATCTCTTAATGATTTTAGCATATATTGTGAAAGAGGGACCCTTCCGCAAAACTAATAGTGTGAAATTAATGCATTGTCCTTTTTTGTTGTTGTTAATTAACGTATTATTTTTTCATTCTCAGACAATGCAATATCGTCAGACTGTAATATCACCTCCTGTAATATTACTTACTGTAATATTACTTACTGTAATATTACTTACTGTAATATTACTTACTGTGATATTACTTACTGTAATATCACCTTTTGTAATAGAGCTTGGTATTTATATTCCTTTGTGCACGTGTGAGCACTCCCTTTGTGCAAATGTCAGCCCCATTAACCAAGTTTGGTCAAGCTTTCTGCTGTCTACAAATAATGATTTAAAGGAGACTTTTATTGTACGATAGGTCACATGTTATAGTAATACTGCAGTGTATTGAGCTCACTATATATTAGTATACAGACTATATACTCAATAGTCACATCTCACTAATCATACCATTGTAGAAAATAGTGCATACCTCCTTAGTCCGTACTGTTGAATCTATCTTGAGTGTCTTGATCAAGCGTTTTGCTTTAGGATTGTGGCTTTGGTATTAGTCGAGTATTTTGTTTTAACGTAGATTCTAAGTTTCAGAGATGAGTCGCAGCAGTTTTTTAGAACGATTAACTTTTGCTTGACTAGTTACCCCTTATTTTAGGACTAGTAGCTGTTGATTGCTTGACTAGTTACCCCTTATTTTAGGACTAGTAGCTGTTGATTAGCGGATGGTAACGTAGCATGAGATTATGTCTCCTGTTACTGTTCCCAATAATATCCCTACAATCTGGTGACCTCTCCCCTTTCATCAGACCCACCAGATACGACCTTGTCTTCGATACTGACTTCAACTCCTGGACTTACTCCGGCTCCGTTAATATCCAGTTCGATGTTCTGAAACAGAGCCATGAGATCAGGCTTCACGCAAGCGAAACTGTTAATATCTCCGAGCTCACTGTCCAAGGTGTGAGTTTAAACCATCCACTAGCCTACCTGACCTCCCGAGCCACCTCTCTGTTGTATGGCACCTGGAAGTTGAATTACAAATGTAAACCTTGTTCCTCACATCGCTGGAACACCGCCAAAGATCTGCTGATAATAAAACTAGGTAGTGCTCTCCCTCCCGGACATTATGTTATAAAGAGCTTGTTCTCAGGGACGGTTTCCACCAAACTTACTGGATATTACAGAACTGGCTACACCCTGGCACATGGTGGAGGGTACGTCAAGATGGCCTCCACTCATCTGTCCCCAGACAAAGCACGGACAGTATTCCCGTCTTTTGATGAGCCTCAGTTTCGGGCAGTGTTCTCCCTGACTGTAATCCATCCTAACAACCTCATTGCCACGTCTAACATGCCTGTAAGTAAGGAGGTGTTACTGGCTGATGGCAGGAAAAGTACTAAGTTTGAGGACACACCTGGCATGTCAACTTATCTGCTGGCTTGGGTTCAACACAATTTCGTGTTTGAGGAGCGGATCATTGAAGGAGTACGCATGAGACATTATGCACGTCCCGCATACAGGAGCGTCATTGCAGAGAAGATTGAAATTGTTGGAAAAAGTGTAAAATTCTACAACGATTTCTTCAAGATACCCTTCCCTCTACCGAAGTTAGACACTATTGGTATCCCCAACTATCTGGTTGGAGGCATGGAGAACTGGGGTTTGATAACTTTAACTGAAAATGCAGCTCTGTCCCGTCCAAGACAGAGGTTTGGTTCAGGCGAGATAGGCTTTAGAAACCTGCTTGCACACGAGGTGTCTCACATGTGGTTCGGTAACTTGGTGACCATGTACTGGTGGGATGACCTGTGGTTGAAAGAGGGGATGGCCTCTTATCTCTCCTACCCTTGTGCTGACTCTCTCTATGACGATGTGAAGATGATGGACCAGTTCATGATAAATAACTGGCAAAAAGCCATGTTTGCTGACGATATCATCACATCTCACCCCGTACAGATGCCGATCCACGTGACTTCTCAGATAACCCAGATATTTGATTCCATCACGTACAAGAAAGGAGCCACTGTTCTGGCTATGATGAGGGACGTTATGGGAGAAGAAGGGTTCAAGTCGGGTATGACCCACTTCTTGAACACGTACAAGTACTCCACAGCAAGGTACCGGGACCTGTTGACCAGCATGACCAGGTACTGTAATAACGGTGCTGAACTAAGACTCCTTATGAACTCCTTCATTCTCCAGAAGAATTATCCCCTGATTGAGCTTCAAATTCTGAGCGATAAGCAGATTCGCCTGGTTCAGTCTAGGTATGTAAGAGATAGTGGTATGATTATAAAAAATGACATTTCCCCCTTCAACTACTCCTGGTACATCCCAATCACCATAGTAACCGACTCTATGTCTTACACCGCTGATAAACACATAATGATGAAAGAAAAAGAAATGGTCCTCACGCTCTCCAAACCGTTCAAGTGGATAAAACTGAACAGCGAAGGAAAGCACATGTACGTGACCCATTACTCTAGCTCCAACCTTGACAAGACACTGGAGGTGGTCAGAGAGAACACACTGGACCCCTCCCTCGGAACCATGAACCACCGCGACCGAGCTCACGTCATATGTGACATCTTCAGTGCTGCTCAGGTCAAGCTAGTGCCTTACAGCACCGCATTTGAGGCGGCCAAGTGCCTTAGGGAGGAACAGCATTATCTACCCTGGACGCTGATCTACAAGTACTTTAAAACTATCCGCTCTATGATCGACGAGAGCTGGGCTGACTGCTACAGGAAGTACATAGTGTACCTCCTGCTGCCTCAATACAAAGCCACCAAGGGTTCTAAAGAAACACTCGTGGAACAACTAAAGTTCGAGATATTTATGAAATATGCTCGTTACATCAGAGGTGAAAGGAAACCGACCATATATGACGGAAAGGATTTGTCAGAGCTTGTTTCACAATACAAAGCCTCAGCTCCACAAGAACGAGCAGACATGGACTTGTTGGTCCAGACCTCGGACGGAGCTGAGATCGAGCTAATCGGCAACACCCTCCTACAGTACCCCTCTACATCTGTCAGTGTGATCATAAACTTCATATCCTACTACAGCAGTGTAGCCCCAGATGTGGTGTGGCATGTGTACAGAGACAACTACCAAGTATACAATGACAAATACGGACTGGCCCAGTTTGAGTACGCTAATGCTCTCAAGACCATGACAAAGAGACAAAGGAACAGCCAGACAATAGCGGAGATTGAGGGGTTCTTTAAAGATCACACTGCTGGAGCGGGCTATTTGGGTCTTCAGAACGGCCTCGAGGAAGCCAAGTTTGTGAGCAAGTTTAAACAGGAGTCAGAACCAGAGTTGAAAAGGTATTTGGAGGGTCAAAGGTTCTGTCAGGATGAATAGAGTTGTAAGGTACGTAACAACCTATAATAATTATTGTCGCATAATTTACACAGTTATAGGTTATACTTATAGTATAAACTTATAACGTATATATATATATATATATATATATATATATACGTTATATATATACGTTATATATAACTGTGCTATAAGTTATAGGTCGTGTATTTCCTGGACTTTAGTATGATGAAAGTTGCAGTTATGAGTAAATGTTGCTTTATAAAACCTACCCAGCTGTTACAGTCTATTGATAAAGTTACTTATGTAGACTCTATCTTCGGGTCTATTGGCACATCTGTCATAATAATCATACACTACACACTAGTGTTCCACAAATCTGGTAATCATGATACGACTAAAAAATGTAGCTGTCTATCGTTTCTATATATCTGACTACGCTTTACTCATGTTTTCAAATTTTTTTTGTAGAGAAGTCTTGAAAGTATTAATATGTTAGATACTCTTAACAACTCTGCTAAAAACTTGTAGTCAAGTTCATGTATGGTTAGTATAAAAGCCCCTACCCACTTAAATTTAAATTTACCGAAGAATCGTTTCTAAATTTGATAAAACCTATTTTCAGGTGCGGGCACCTACAGCGTGGACCACATGAAAAGGCAGTAATGTTTGCTCATCGTCATGGAGATTGGAGACTAACCCTGCCAAGAATTCCTATTGGTTGATGTGTGAATAATTATAAAGTTACTAAAGATTAGCATTTTATTTCTCTGTTGGTTAACATTAAATTATGATTTACTTTCAATTTCACCTATTTATTAATATTATGTATTTCGGGTTAATCGAGGGAAAATTAGTGTAGATTAGTTTATCTAATTTATCTATTTAATTTCCCATTATGACATTTGAAGTTGTGGTGTACACAAAATTTTTATCATTCCTGTAAAAAAAGGACAATATGTTATGGGATTCCGATTATTATTTTCTGACAAGCATTTATAATTATAGTTGACGGCCAATGCACATTAGGCTTGATTTCTGAAGAAATGTTTTTGTTAGTTTAAACTGTAGTGGTTGATACTCTTAATTCTTCTTTCCATTGTCCAAAATTCAGAATATTCGAAAATAAATCAAGTCTGCACCAACTAAGAGCATGTCACCAACTCACAAAATAATTAATTATTCGTAATTTAAACTTGAACTTTGTTTTGTCGACTAGTGAGTCCATGTTATGAACTCACTAATTGGTCATCGAAGAAAATTTCTGTCAAAACAGCGAAATTTGGGACGAGTGAAAAGCTCGAACAATACATTTTTGACATTCAAACATTTTGTTGTCCATTGTTAATGGACTAGCCCGGCGCGCGCTACTTTGTAGCACATGCCTCAGGCGCTACTTCGAAGAAATTTAGACGAGTAACATCCTTCGAACATTTTGTTCAGCAACTATAACAATTCAATTATAATACATCAAACCACAGCTTCGTTACAATAACTATCAGTATCTAACTATGAAACATATTGTATAATATCGCTGATATCATTATCATTGAAATAAAAATGAATTACATCCATTTCCACATGCATGTTTATAAATATATCGAAAATGCGGCTCCATGAGTTTGTATCAAGTACTGGCAGATCCTCAGACGCATCATCAATATTGGACAATGGCAAGAATGCCAGAAATGCCACCATAATTCGAAGCTGTGACCACCATCTCTCTTCCTTATGTATTTAATTTGATCCGATCTATATAACAAGCGTGCTAATACTAATAGATGACAAGGTGTCAGGTACCATGCCTTTCGATCGCAAGATCTGATCTTACAACTTTACAAGCTTACGTGTTCACGAAACGTGCCAAAAAGGATACGATCCACTGCTTCTTGATCAAGCATCGAGATCCCACCCAAGGCTCGAGATCTGAACCATGGCAGGCCCTTGCAAAGCATCGGAAGACACAAAATTTGAGCCAAGTACCCTGACAGGTAACGAAAATGCAGAGTCTCTGACCGAAAAAGGCTCCGAAAATGAGGGAAAAAAGGAGAACGTTGCCCGACACTCATTTCAAACGAGTATGGAGACTCAGACATGGAAGAGGAGACAAAGAACCACTTTATTGGCCAGTGCCCAAAGTGGTCTTATCAATGAAGTGGATATTTTGACTCCTTTTACCTTAGTGTGACAGACATGATTGTGGATAAGTTCTCACTACCAAGGATTATTGCACTCATACAACTACAAGCAACAAAACGATTCACCAAAGAAACGATTCACCAAATGCGGTGAAAACGAAGTTAACGTTTTTCTCCATTTATTAATATTTTACCGGGGTAAGCACAGGGCTCCAATGCTCTAAATTACAGTCGTCATGATCTATCCTATAGTGATAATAACCAAAGTCCCCTGCGAAGAAGGAGAACCTGAAAATCCGATTGTTGGGTTCAGTTGTCGTGCCCCACGAAAAACCTCACCGAACCTCCACGCGGTGTGGGGTGGGTGGCTCGAACGGGAGGTGTATGGGTGTTTCTAACCTATGCAAAGGAAGGGACTAGCCATCTATACAACAAAAGAAAGGCTTTAATAGCCTATATTATCCTTAGAACCGCAGCATAACCGCTTTTCCCACAGGCACCTTCCGAGTTCCGTAGGAAACTAACAAGCTCACAGGCTCCCACATGACGTGTAACTGTAACCCCAGGATTTGGTTTTGGATCGGGCACTAAAAACAACGATAGACTCATAGAGGAGCGGTCTATACGCTCACAGGCTACCAAGTCTCGTGTACCCTAGGATTTGGTCTTGGATCGGACACTCAAAACAACGTTAGAGCTAGGAGCGGTCTACACGCTCACAGGCTTCCACGTATCGTGTACCCTAGGATTTGGTTTTGGATAGGACACCCAAAAAAACGATAGAGGAGCGGTCTACAGTGACGTTACATGAAAATTGCATACTCCTACTGCCTACGAGTTGCACGTAGCAGGCCATGACCTCCCCTGGAAGTCCCTGTCTCTCCATCGTTAACCCGGTGGGGTTGCACCAGGGGCGCTGGTAACAGAACTTCAAGACTCCCGGAGTCTGTTGTCGATATCTATGTTTAATATATTTATGGTATATAATTTGGGAGTCTCTCTTTCCGTCCGCGGCAGCAGGAGTTGGAGAATGGGGACGCGTTGTGAAAGCCACCGTAAGGAAACTGAAAGCTAACTGTCGACGCCGACAAATCGAAAGAAAGAAGAAAGAAGCACTTATTAATATTTTACCGGGGTAAGCACAGGGCTCCAATGCTCTAATATAAGTCTAAATACAAAATAGGGGGTGCACGATAAAAATAAAGTTGCTCGGATTTTAAAAATTTTTGTATCACTGTTTTCTAATTCTAGAGACTGTGAGAATTTTCACAATACCAAATTTGTCAATTGTCATACCTTTTTAGAAAGATCAGTGAGTTTTGCCTAGGTGCCATATTTGATGGTGCGCGGCTTTTGGAGCAAAAGTAGTTGTAAAAGTCGCGTAGTTTGACCAAATCCGTTGATTTTTGTCGTATTATTCGGATATATCTTCGGTTCCTTGAATGAGATCATTCTGAAAATTGGCGACGACCTTCCAATAGGGCTTTCACAACTGTCCGAAAAATGTGGTGCCGGTGGATATCGGAGTTGATATAGTAATCAAAATGGGGCAAAATACGCTGCTTTTACATTTTAGCTGTAACATAATTTTTGATGGTTGGATAAGCTTTAAATTTTTCGGACACTTGCACTTTCCTTGTAAGTCTATGAGTAAACTTACCAAATTTTGTTGCAATCGGAGGTCGGGAAGGATACTCAATATCTATTTGTTTGAAGAAAATTGTGCTGGCCGAAATTAGCGCTAAAAAACATTCACTAGTCTATGTATTTGTAATAAGCGCCATGAGTTGGCACAGAATTTTTTGTCTCTGATTTTGATAAATTTGGTACCAAAAGTTGCCTCTAACTGTTGACTGTGAATAATGAAAATTCACCGTGTGGCACGATTCGTTGAGATGTATGTGGGCCTCCTGTGCATTGCAAAAGTGTACCATGGACGAAAAATGGTTAATTTATTGCTTAAAATGCCTATAACTCCTAAAATATTGAATGTTTTGAAATAATTCTTACAGAATCGTAATGAGCTTAATCAAACGCAACTTTTGGTACCAAAATTATAATATTTAAAGCACCAAATTTTTCGAAAATTTGTTCAAATTTAAAAACTTTTGAAAAAAAATCCTTTAAATCTTAAAATATTAGTACTAAAAGTTTCGTCTCGATGAGCTGATTACGATACCATAATAACTATGTGATAATAATTTAAAATGTGACAGTTGTAGCGCGATGCACTACTGGGTCGCGCGCGCATCAAATAATGCTTCTCGCAACCACAGTAGTGTGCAAACCAACATTCGAACCACCAGCAGCTGGTGGTCAATTTCCTACGAACGCGACTTAATTTTGGTTCAGACTGGAGTCGAGCGCTACGTTATAGCTGTATATATAGCTCGTTTCACAACGAAATCTTCATTTATTGAGTTTGTCTGTCGATTATGTTGGAGTTTGTATTTTTAGTTTTGTACTCGAATACTGTTAATTTATTTTTATTAAATAGTTGTTTTTCGTAACAGCACACTAGTACGTGATTCCTTTTGTTATTCTTACATAAATAGGAAGATTTTAAACTTCAATACTATATAAATAATCAAATATTTACGAACACCGATCATCCGATCATCGGTATGTACCCATTATGCATTATTGGTATCAAAGTCTTTTGTTGAGCTGGATATCGAAAAATTTCAAAATGTAAGGCTGTAATTTTGTACTTGTTTAGGTGTAGAACTAGGATTAACAACTTGATTGCTAGGAGCTAGGAAGAGATTTTAGTAATGATGACCCTTTAAACTTAAACTATATCTCTAGTGCACTTCGATCGGTTTTCTTTTCAATTTTGATAAAACCTAGTCGTGATCTTTGTTTCAGAACTTCACTAATTTATTAAGTTTTGTAGTTTATATAGACGGAACATGAGCAGATACCATTTGATTAATTATAATATATCCGATTTGAAATATTATTCTGTCGGAGTTTGAGTTCAACATGGACACATTTATTAACATCCCGCATGAATTTGTGTCGTCTTTACAATTTTTTGCGCTGAATTTGTATGCTTATTAATACTGCCGCATGATATCAGTAGCTGCTATAAAACTAGAGTGTATAGCATGTGTATTATACGATGTTTCCCACGTAAAAATCGCAGGTTGTTTTGGTGCGGCTGGGCACTCTACTGGTGATTGACACCAGAGACTGAGAAAAACTTTGACATAATTTTCAAGTTTGATATGACCTAATAACTACCACATTTACAGGAAGTATGGTAATACATTCTTGTCAGCTGTCTGGGCAAATCTTCTCTCGCAGAATTGGATTAAAATTTAATGTATTTTATTTCTCACTTCCAACGATGTCGCAATTATTAGGTAAAATTTGAAGTTATTTTGAGATTCAATTAATAAATTTTAGATTGCAGCTTGATATCACTTAGTATGTACATTGTACTCGGTTGCAAGGGTAGAACTTATGAGAATACTATCATAGTATTATTGCACTATACTATTATGGGTTCATCAAAGTTCGTATCATGATTTGTCACAATTAAACCATCGAGTCACTTGAGGAAACCCGTTAAAGCTCGCAATTGGCGACGAGATAAAGTTTGTGGTATCTCTAGATGTTAAGTTAACTCTTAGGCTCCAATCTTCCTTACTATACCTACCACTCCTTCTTCCTTGATAAGAAGTAGATCCATCTGGAACAGTGAGCTGCTTCTTCCCTTCTATCCCGTACTTAGCCTACTCAGCTCTCTCCAAACCGTGAACAACTACTCCCGGTGCTAGAACTTTAACCGCATAATTATAACAGCACAATTCTTTCGCTTGAATCTCAGTCTGCTGTAAGACTGCTGTACCGGTAGAGTTTTTACTTGTATGATTCAGCAATCTGCTCTTTAGATGGTACCGTTACCTCCCGCCATAAGACTGTGCCGTCTTGGTGACCTTGA